AGAGAGTTGGTGGTGGGGGGGATAGAAAGAAAGAAAATAGAGAAAAACTTATTTGTTATTCCACTTACTTATGCATTCATCTGTTGCTTTTTGTACGTGCCCTGACCAGGCATTGAACCCCTGCAACCTTGGCATATTGGGATGACACTCAAACGGACTGAGTTACCCGGCTAGGGCCCAAGTGCTGGTGTGTCAATACACGTGATGATAAAGCACATTTCTATTAGCTTATTCACTAATCTATGTTAAGGAGGCTGAAATAATGCTAAGTATTAGTGCAGATTCTCAAAAATAAATATTAGGGCAGCAAACCGGACAAAAGAATTTGTTGAGGGCTGTTTTCTGAAGCCTTTTTTGTGGTCACATTCAGGTCATTATAAAATTGGTTTTTCTATATTACATTAACTTTAGTGAAGAAGAGACAAAGGAAAGTGTAAATTAGGGAAAGAAAAAGATGAAGAATCTGAATTTGAAATAAGCCCATATAAACCTAAAAGATAGAAACACCCAGAAAAAGTCCAAAGTCCTATTTTCTAGTAAAATTAATCCTTTTATCAAATAAATTTAATTTAAAAAAGTTTTTGATTTGTAGGTACCTAATGAAGCTGCTTGCAGTTTGCTGGGTCCATTTGCTGTGCAGTGCACAAGATCTGCAAGAAGACAGTGGCCACCACTGGAAGTAGCGGCATGCTGGGTCCCTACCAAAGCCAGGGCTGTAATTGAATACATAGGTCCTAGAAACTCTCTTATCTAAAAAAAAAAGTATTGTCTTTTAATAACTTAAATGTCACTCATTTATTAAATGATTGAAAGAATTATAATTATTTACTAATAAGATAAATCTGGCAAAAATGACCAAAAGTTAAGAGCAGCAAAAAGAAAAGAGAGAAAAATACACAAAGAAAACACAAAAAGGATTTAGGGATCAATAATACATTTATCTATTAATAACTGCTCAGCAAAACTGACGGAGATACAATATAAAGCGGTTTTGAAAACGAGAGAGGAAAACTGTTGAGGAGAACATACCTGACTACAAAGACTAAAGAAATAGATAGCTACATGTGATATCAAGATTTATTAAAGCAATCAGAGTTCATAATTCCTATTTATTGAGTGTGTGTCCCACACTATGCAAGGCCCTTGCACAGCCTCTCCGACTTCCCAACAACTGTGTAGAGTGGGTGGTGGTATTGCCAGAGAGAAAACTGGAGTCAGAGAGGCACAGAGCCTGGTCTAAGGCCCAACAGCTACAAGTTCAGCTTTGCTATGAGATCTCTCCATCTGGAAGGTTTATCAAAGTCAGACCATACTGTGCAAACTTAGTAACTTTTGCACTGTCAACTTTGAGACATTTGACAACAATATGGAAATTTTGTATTTATTGGTTCTGGAAATGCCATAATCTGAGAAAAAGTCATTGGTTCAAGGTTACTAAGTGGTAGAGGCAGAATACAAACTCACATCTGTCTAATTCTGAACCTTGTTATTGTTGTTGCTGGTGTTTTTATGGTAGAACTTAGGTGGGACTTTATTATTTTATTTTGTTTTTGTTGTTTTTAATTCAGGGCAAAGTCCATTTGTTTGGACTAGAAGGCCGAAAACTTTAAAAAGTAATATAATTCTCCCTTTAAAGTTTTCTACCTTCATGTAGTTTTATTTTTGATAATTAGCCAATGGTGCTATATTTGCGTGTGTGTGTGTGTGTGTGCGCGCACACGCACATGCTTTCAGCAATTTAGTTAATAGTTAAATTTTTTAAATTTTAATTTAAGGAAACTTTTTTAAATTAAAAAAATCTTATTACAGTACACAAATGATTGGATTCAATCACCAAGTTAGTGATTTTCAACATTTTTACAGTTGTGACACTCTGTTAGGCTTTAATTTTGGTGATATCCTCCCTCAGTGCTGTGTAGTAGATAGTTATTAATACTTAAAATAACTTTGAGAGTTTATGAAAGAAAAGTTAGAATGCTACAAAATTAGAACTGGGAATTGTTACATGGAGAAAAATTGCCTTGTGTAAAAGCATTTATTTTAACATGAAAACATCAATGATTGGATATGCTGCATAAATACAATATAGATGCTTATTACTAAGTTCTGGTGTATTTACTGGAGAATACATCAGAAAAATAAGACCATAATCTGATCAGGTAGCAGTCTTCCCCAAGATGCTGTAAATATGATTAGTCAGCAACTCAGATTTTTCACTCTTAATAAGTTGATCCTCTCAGAATAGCAATTTTAAAATTAAAGGAGAGAAAGCTCCAGGGGAAAAAGAAATGTATATGGTCTGACACTCATAGATGGCAGAGGGAGTCTTGGTCAGGCTTGACAGCTAAATCCATGACGCCTTGCCCAGCTCACTGGGGTTAAAATCTGTCCTTGTACACCCCGCAGTTGTTAGTGTTTTTGGTAATCAGATGGGACTTCATTTTGTATGATCTCAATAAAACATTCACACATTCCTATAGTTCTTTAAATACATAGCCAATTTCTAAATGGCAGGATATATCACAAAATGAGTAACAGTGATTCTGGGAAGAACATGACTAGTTGCCTCATCTCAAGGGGTACAGATCACGGAGATCTGTGCATCTCAGAGGCCAGACCTCCATTGGCGCCCTTAGGCCAGTTTCAGGTGCGACTGACCTACCTTAGTGCATCCATATTCCGTGGACCTGCTCTGCACCAGGGGGTTTAGATTTATTCATATTGATCTCATTCTGGTTCAGATCTCTAGGTTTATTTTTAAAAAGGGTTTTCCTTCCTCTCCCCCTCTTTTTCCTTCCTCTCATTTGGACGCAGAGACACCCAGTTCTGGAGGTCCCAAAACATACACTCTTCGGTCTCCCAGCAAGCCTAGGCAGCACTTTCCAGATCAGGATTTGCTTCAGAATCCCGTGGGTTTGGGGGTGGGGGGGCGGAACTTGTAAATACTGCAGGTCTTAGATTGTACTTAATCTGATTGGAATCTTTCCAGTTGCAAAAGGTATGATGGAAGAATAGCCAAAAACTATTTACTTATTTATTTGTTCATTCATTCATTCCACAAATATTTTTTAATGGAAAAGGTGCATATGCCTGGCTGTGTGCTAGATGCTGAAGATGCAGATGTAAATAGAAATGGCTTTTGCCTTTAGGGAACTTCTGGTCCGGTGGAAACTAAGTGGAAAAGATGAGTGGGTGACGAAAGGCGTCATGACACGAGAAGGAAAGTTTAGCTCTGCTCATGAGGCTCACAGGAGCTCGTTGTAGCCCTGGCTGGTGTGGCTTAGTCTGTTGGAGTGCTTGTCCCATAGGCTGAAAGGGTTTGGGCTCAATCCCCGGTCAGGACACATCCGAGAAGGCAGCAAATTGATGTTTCCCTCTCACATCAATGTTTTTCTCTCTCCGTTCTCTTCCTCTGTCTTTAAAAGCAATGAAAAAATGTTCTCAGGTGAAGATTTTTTTTAAAAAAAAGGAGCTGGTGTGGACAGGAGTTTTTCTAAGCAAAGAAATACGGTGCAAAGGTGTGGAGATAGGAGAGAGATTAGTGTGTACTGGGAACTGCAGGTGGTTCCTCATGTGTGTATGGGGAATGAGAAGACAAGAAGTAAAAGCTACTTCTGTTGGTGGTAGAGAAAGAACACAAGAAAAGGTCCCAAAGTTAAAAGACATGAGTTACAGACAGAATTCACAGAGGGCACTATCAATGAATGCAAAAGACTTACCCCTAAGCATATGCTATTAACTTCAGGATTCCAGGCATGAATACAAGATCCTAAAAGCTTTCAGAAAGGAAAAGGTATATAAAAAGGATTAGTAACCAGAATAACATCAGTCTGCTCTATAGCCACATTAAAAACTAGACTGTGAAGTAATACTTCCAAAATATAAGAAAAATTATTTCCTAATTAGAATTACATACCCAGCCATACTACCAATTGGCACTTTAAGACACACAGATTCTCAAAAAAATTACATTCAGGGCACTCTATCAGGTAGCTTACAGGAGGTCTGCACTGTCAAAACAAGAAGGTAAACCAGGAAAGAGAAGCCAGGAGGTCCAAGGACAGGGGTTACCACAGAGGAAAATGTGTAGGAAATTCTTAGGACGATGGTGAAGGGACGTCCCTGCCCAAGGCCTTGAGAGTGACCATTCTTGTGTGTGTTTTGTTTTTTTTCCTGCTAGTCTGTAGTTTGGCGTGGAGCATGAAGGAGGGACACTTAGACCTGGTAGAATGGTGAACACCTTAGACTGCAAAAAATGTCACTATAATGATCTCCAGGAGGGCAAATCTGTTCCTCTGGAAACAGGCATAATATTTTTTAAACATTCTTGGCAGAAGCCTTTGGATGACTTAATATACTGTAATCAAGGGCAAATCTTGTACTCTTTAATTAACTTTCTGCTACAGTATACAGTCCAGGGAACTACTTCGGAAAACACTTGGCCAGCTTTTCTGTCATCCCTAAGCTGAATGTTTTTGCTTTGGGAATCTAAACATTGAATGTGTGCTCATGTGGCAGCATTGTGGCTCTCGGCGCACCAGGATGCTCAGTTGCTTAGGTTATGTATATTTTGTGTGAAGTGAGCACAGCGTGGAGAGAGAGCATGCCTCACATACCAGGAGAGCGATGCAAGCGTGCTGTTGAAAGCATGCTTCCCGTTTGTCAGGGCTTCATGATAGTAGACCTGGTGACACAGTAGCCTTTAGGCAGAGCTCCTGGGGATGTGCAGGAAGTGCGGCTGCAGGTTTTGTCCCGGGGTAATCTGAGCCATTTCTCTGTGGACAGCTGGGTTGCAGAGTCTGGGCAAGTTGCTGTTGAATTTTGCACGGGCTGCCAGAGTAAGTGTTTTCATTTTGATTTGTTTATAGTCCTGGTTTTCCTTCTCCTGAGTCATCCAAGATTCTTTCTGGAAGTTTCATAGGCGTTATTATACATTATCTAAAGTGGGATTCATTCTAACATATTTGTAATCCAACTTTCCTTTTTCTTTCTCTCTGCAGAATTTGTGGAAGTATAATACTTTGTCATTATGCGATGTCGTCTCTCGGTACCTCCTTTGTGCAAATTAAATTTGATGACTTGCAGTTTTTTGAAAACTGCGGTGGAGGAAGTTTTGGGAGTGTTTATCGAGCCAAATGGATATCACAGGACAAGGAGGTGGCTGTGAAGAAGCTGCTCAAAATAGAGAAAGAGGTAAGGTCTTTTCCTGCTATCAGAAGTGGTCACAATGGCACTTATGTAAGTTTTTCAGCTAGAGTCAGAGGTCACAGGCTGCCAGGGACCTAGCAAAGCCTTTGGGACTGATCCTCAAGGCCATTTCCCTATTTCCATTCTGGGAACCCCATAAATAGAAATTATTGCTGCGTGTGCTTTAGGCTTGAGTTCTGCTAGGGGTCATCTGAACTGAGAGGATTTCTTTCCATGGCAAGAACAACCAAATGTTCTCTGAACTCCTGAAGGGGAGGTAAGATTTCAGACCTCTTTTCCCTAGGTCAGCCAAGAGGGGTCAGTAAAGAGTAACATGTGAAGTTTTCATCCCCTTTCCATTTTCTATCCATGAATTTGTGGTCATCAGTTGTCTTTTAAAAAGTGCAAAGCATTCCCTACTGAAATATAAGCATACTAGTGTTTTGGATTTCACCTCTGCTTGAAGCCAAAAGCTGTGAACTTTGTTTACTAAAAAACTAGCAGGTGCCAGAGAGAGGTTACAAAACCTACTTACCAAACCGGAAAAGCTTTCAGAGTCTGGGATATGTGCTGGTCATAGTCCCGATTAGAATGCATGGGCCCTTCCTCTTCCTCAGGAATGTGATACAACGTCACCTCCACAGTCCGCTTGGCTCCTGGAGACTAAAGCAGATTGTGGAGCTGACCCCGTAGAGCTTGTTTTAGACATTTCTGTGTTCCTACTTCTGTTTCTACTAGTCCTGCTTTGGCTACTTGTTGTTCTTTTCAGTATCTTTCTAAAGTGCGCTTTCCATAAATATTTTTTAATGTCCCTGAATGATTTGATCTTTTTTCCATTAATTGCTGCTGGTGAACCGTGGCGGTTGATTAGAGAAGGCAACCCAAAAGGTAGCACGGGGTGGCGTTTCCTCCCAGCGGCGGTGCTGTGTGATTGTGCGGCCACCAGCAGTGTTTCCATTGGAAGCAGGTCAGAGGGCTAAGATAACTCTGCCCTGGGGTATCTCTGGGTTGTGGGAGCTGAGGAAGTGAAAGCCCTTAAAGCCAATGTGCGCATAAAACCAAAGGGCGCTGTGCAGAACACGTTTCCTTCTCTTAGTTTCTTGATTAGCAAATTTTTAAATAGTAGCCAAACAACAAAACCATGGCTTACTCCGGACTGAACCTAGCTTCTTTTATATAGGGAACTCTTACAGCCTTTATAAGAAGCATTTTTACACCCTTTTTGTAGAGCGGGAAATAGAGCTTGGAAAAATGTGTTGTGTTGTGTCAGCCCCAGGAGAGGCAAGTGAAATCCAGGAGATCAGGTTCCCTGTTCTTTATTTTTTAAACTCTGAAACTTCTGGTTGACCAGGGGAAGAATAGAAAATAAGCCAGTTTCATCAAATTTGAGTCAAAGAAGGATGTAAGTGTGCTAATATTTTTATACATTAGGTTGTGCAGCTTCAGTGCAAAGAACCTGTCTATATGATTTTGGATGTGAGACTTTATGAGACATAAAACACACTTTGATAGGAAAACAATAATTGTAACCCATTCTCTCCACTCCCCACCCGTGCTTCCCATCTTTTTGACTATCTTGAGAGAGCCAGGAAATGACAGATGAAAGCACCCGGGGTGGGGGGTGGGGGCCGAAGAGCTTGTGTGAAAGCCGGAGCCGGTAACTGCCAGGTGCTTCTCTGGTGAAGCTTTTAACCTGGGTGGCTATCGTTCCGAAATTGAGTGGGTTACAGTAAAGTGCAGGGGCGTAACTCATCAACTTGTGAGCAAGGAAAACAGAAACTCCGTTTCGGCTCTGGGGTTGGTTCAGTCAGTGATTGTCAGTGATAAAGAGACATGGTAAATTTTTGCAGCGCAGTATTGCATCCCCACACTTGCTCAATCAACGTGAGTTTAAGATGTAGAAAATTTTTGAGGTTGGCAGTTACTGGAAAGGAAATATGTGTTTCTTTTGTAAATTTTTGTTATACTTTTTGAACCAGATATTGGCTTGCTGGGTAGGTGTTTTCTAAATGGTAAGATAAAAATAATTAGCTCTGGATTTTCTTTTAATTTATAGGTTCACTTGTATGTCACTTGGTCATTTTTGCCAATGAGTTTTAGAAGCAATGGAATATTTAATAATATGTCTGTTGCTCGTACATGTAATTCTTTAAGACTGGCCTGATATCTGATTAAATATGTTTTATGAACTTAGTAAAAGATGGAAAAAATATATACCAAACTCTTTAACTTTGCTTATGTGAGAGGATAGAGGAAGACTACTTATTTTCACTTTATTTGTAGACCTCTAATTTAATGAGTATGTATTACTTTCCTCTGCTTTAGTGAGGATATATTACCTTTCTAATTTAGAAAAAATAAAGAACAATGGCATTTACTTAAAATCTTGGTATTTCTTTAAAACTTTACTTTAAAAAAACTTCTACACCCAGGGAAAAACTGTAAGAATAATACAATGAATTCTAGCATATCCTTTCCCTAAAATCACCACTTATTAACATTTTGCAACATCTCCTTCTCTCTCTATATATCTTTTACTTATATGTATTTCTACATATATAATTTCTTTTACTGAAACATGAGAGTAAATTGTAGATGCTGTGTCCCTTTATACCTAAATGCTTGAGCATCTTCCAAGTATACAACCGTCACACAACTATCAAATTCAGAAAATTTAACATTGATTCAATAATAGTACATTGATTCAATAATAATAGTCTATATTCAAATTTTGTCAATTGTCCCAATAATGGCTTCCTATGACAATTTTTTTCCAACCCAGGATCCAATCCAGGTTCACATACTGCGTTAATTAATATACCTCCTCAGTTTGCTTTAATCTGTAACAGTTCCTCTGCCTTTTTTTATCTTTTAAACTCTGACATTTTGAAGAGTGCAGGACAGCTTTCTAGAATGTTCCTCGTTTTGGATTTATCTGATTTTCTCTCCCTCTTGCCTAGTTTAAGGCCATGTAGATTTGATAGGAATACTACATAGGTCATGTGTCCTTGGTGTATCTCAATGAGAGACCACGGATGTCAGTTTGCTACACAATTGCTACACTATTGGTGGTATTACTATTGAACCCATGATTTGGGGGGGGGGGCATGACTCACCCAATTTGTTCACAGTAAAAATGCCTCCTTTTCCTTAGTAATTAATAATTAAGCTGTTAGGAGATACTTTGAGGCTATGTAAATATTTTCCCTCAGCAAACATTACTCCGTGTTGTTAGCATCCATTGGTGATTCTTGTTTGAATTGAGTAGTATTATGACAGTTATTGTGTAGAAAGCAAAAAGTTCTAGCATAAATGAGCCTTCCTTTCTTTTTTCCTTGCTTCCTTCACTTATTTATTAATCTATATATTCATTTATTTATTGTTTCATTGTAGACTATTGGATTTCTTCTCAAACTCAAAATGCTATAGTCCATTTTGTTATTTTTCATTTTCATGATTAAACAGCCCTCAATTTAGTACGTTAAGAATCCTGTCTGGGTGACTCCTATGTCTTTTTGATATGTCTTCATCATCGTTATTTTTTTTTTTTTAGCATTTCCTTACTTTTTGGCACAAAAGATGTTCCAGGATCAGCTATTTCTTTAAGAAATCCTGATTCTGGGTATATGATTTGGGAATATGAGAATTTCGAAGCCAAGATTTGGATGTCTGGTGTGCTTATGGTAGACTCTTAAAAAAGAGCCTTTTTTTTTTTTTGACAGAAAGAATGGTATAGATGAATTTTATTTATGGGAGCATTTAATTTAAAATTTTAACATCATGGGTCTGGAGAGCTATGTTCTGTGATACACTCCTGTTAGAAATGTAAATTGGTAAAATTCTTGGAGAAGTGTTTAGCAAAATGTATCAAAAATTCTTAAAATATATACTTCCTTTGAGATAGAAATTTTGCTTGTGGGACTTTATCCTAGGAAGTAGGAAATAATTAGAGATGTGCAGAAAGGTGAATATAATAGGCTGTTGTTCATTTTACATGTATAATGATGAAGAATTAGAAACAACCCAGGTGTCCTGTGACAAATTATCTTTTAAATTAAGGAATATCTCACCAAAAAAAAGAGACAAATATGGGAGGTGATGGATATGTTAATTAACTCAATTGTGGGAATCCTTTCAAGATATATGTATGTATTAAAATCATTGTGTTGCACACTTTAAATGTTATATATTTATTCCTCAATTATACCTCAATAAAGCTGAAAAAGTTATCCTACATTTATGTAATAGAATTCTGTTGCACCTTGGAAGAATATTTAAAGAGTTAGGAAAATGCATTTAATATACTGATAAGTTGTAAAAGCAAGTCCCAAAATATTTTAATACAATCCCAAGTGCCTGCTTGGTGTCTGTATAGTGTTTTTGTTTTTCTTATACTTTCTTTTGTTTTTCATACTTTTCTACAATCATCTCATATTTTTATTCCCCTCCCAACATTTCATTATGAAAATTTTTTAAATTAAAGACAAGCTGAAATGGTTTTATAGTGAATGTCTGTATATCTACTATCTAGGGTCTGTCATTAACGTGAATACTTGCTTTATCACATACTTACGCAGCTGTGTGTCCTTCCATTCATCACTCCACTTTGATGCATTTCAGAATGTTACAGGCATCAATATGTTTCCCTTTAAATTCCTTTAAAGCATACCTGTTACTACCAGAGTTCAGTATGTTTTTACAGTTTGTTTTCTTTTGAGGTAAAATTTACACAGAGTGAAATGCATGTATCACTAGGTTTTGACAAATGTGAACACCTTGTGACCCACATATTTACTTTTATAATCAGCAAAACCTCAATTAAAAATTGTACCTCTGACAATCTATGGTACTTTCTAAGACTGTTCATGTGAATTGAGTTTCATAAACTCTTTAGTATGCCATAAATCCCTAAACTGTTTAATGTTTACTTGTCTATAGCAGTGCTATAGGATTTTCAGTGGTAATTTACCTTGTTTATGCTAGTTGAATATTTACTTAACGTGCAT